GGAACTCCTAAGACTTGTTTGCCTTTGTTATTATATTTAGTGTTTCTTAATTAAAAAGCTCTGGGTCATGAGTTAATGTCATGCTTGTGATAGGAAGGTGACAAATTCAGATTTGCATGTTCCTTTAAAAGATATCCATTCTTAGTATAGCTGACATTTGTAATGTCAGTTGAAGGTTGGTGCCTGCCCAAAAATGCTTGTGAAATAGTTGTGGCTTAAGCTTCAACTTTAAAACATAGGCAGGCAATATTAACAAAAGTGGTATACTGATTCACAGTTCATGTTAAAACTCACACACACACACACACACTATTATGTGTGTGTGTGTGTGTGTGTGTGTGTGTGTGTGTATGTGTATATATATACAAAATGTGTTCTGGGGACTATCTTTGTTTATGTGATGATATTTTACTTTAGTAAATGATTTAGTGGAGACCAACCGGTGTCATTTCCAGTTCTGGCCTGTGGTGGACCACAGTGACATGAAACATGGCATTCATTGACTAAAACTGTGCAACAGCTGGAATCATAGCCTAATTCTCAGTACTATAATATTACAGAATGCATTGGATGCCATGATTCAGGAACTTAGAATAATACATTGAATTGTAAAGGGGAAAACATCTGCAGGACAAAGAAAGCTTTATTTAAATTAACAATAAATCTTTTTAATTTTATTATTTTTGTTTTATGTGTATGGTGTACTGTCTGTATGTAAGTGTACCTGTGTCATTCAATGCCAGTGGAGGTCAGAAGAGGGTGTTGGATTCCCCTGAAACTAGTTAGGGATGGGTGTGGGAATCGAATCCAGGTCCTCTGAAAGAGCAGCCAGTGCTCTTAACTAATGAGCCATCTCTCTAGCCCCTAACAAGAAATTTTTGACAATGAACATGATTGCATTTCATTACATGAAAGTCAGAATTTGGAGTTTGTATTCACTTCACTTTATAAGCTTGTAATACACACACACACACACACACACACACACACACACATGTATATGAATAAATTGAAGCAAACAAAAACTCATATACATGCAGAAAGCTTTAAAACAGGAAGAATCTTTTAAAGAAAGCCTACTTTGTTGGAATGCATTATTGTTGGGCAAATGGAGGATGCCAGCAGGAGACTTAGTGACTTGTAGGTACTAGAACTCTTAGGTTGTGATCTGGACTTGTTTTGGTTCTCTGAGGTTGTACTGACTCTTAGTTTAGAAATTTAGCCTCTTTCAAATCAGAAACATCATTGGAAATAAAATTCAAAAATTTGCTTTCTCATGTTCCCCCTTGACATTTTTCAGTAAGAGCATGAGGATTCTGTTTTCAGAGGATGGAGGAAGAAAAGCTATTTCCAGTTTGATCTTTTTGTCATTCTTGAACAATAAATGGAGAAGCCTTTGACCATGCATTGCACCATGCCCAGCAATTTTTTTTTCATTTGAGTATAATTATTCCTTAGCAAATAATTGCAGTCCAGAATGACTTTTATTGAGCTTGATTGAATTAGGGATATGTATTAAAATGAGTTGGTTAGCTTAATCTGTTATCCAGGGAATTGATGAGAACATCAGAAAAGCAGTCATTCTTGGGGATTAAATATGCTTTGGTATAAGTGGGCACATGGTTACCTTGGAGTCCCTTCTGTACTGAGTAGTGGTGACGTCGGGATGCCAAACACAATTTTGGCATAGAAGGGGATTTTTGCAATTGCAGTAATGTGCCTTTGAATGCTGTACAGGGCATTTACAGTGATTGGAAGTCTGCCTTATGATAAGAAGTGGTAGCTCACCCTTCTAGTCTCATAAACTTTTCAAAACATGGCTCCCCAAGAAATGATCTGTGCCAGAAAGCCAGTTGCTCCGGGATATTTTAGCAGTTGCTTAGGTCATGCCCTTGAGATAGGGTTTTCAGATGCCAAGTCATTTGCCCTATTGTGGTAAGAGGCAAAATACAGATATTTAATAGGTGGCTCTCCCACCCATCATGAAGAAGCATAATGAGGTTTTTCAGAGGGAATCCTAACCTGTGTCAGGTCAGAACTGGCCAGAAGGCAGTTAGGCTGTATCAGAGACCTTGATGGGCAAAGGAAAGTGCTTAGTGAGCCAATGAGAGCTGATCCTGGGAAGTCAGGATTCCAAGGGTCTGTTGGGGTAACTGGGATTGACAAGAAGCCTGAGTGTGACCCAGACAGCACAGGTACATACTTGGATTTTCAGACAAAATTTGGGCAAGGGATACATTCAGGTCAGAGTCTCTACCATACAAGAGCTTAGCCTGGAAAGAGACATCTGCTTTCTGATGATTCCCTGGTTTCTTACATTCACCATATAAGATGATATGATGGCTCAGCAGTTAAGAACACTAACCTTTGTTTTCTTAGGAGAACTTCAAACAAACTTGCTTGCCACAGCATAGTCCATCTCCTTGTTCTATCATAGGTAATGAGTTATCAAACAGGTATGAAAATGAGGTATAATTATGTAATTATGGCCCATGTTTTGGTATGAAGACCTTTGTAGAAATAAATATATAAAGGGTGCTTGAAGATTAGTAAGAGTTTATCTTTCAGCTTCTAAAAGAACAGCTTATGTGAGATGAATAACATATTTCTTAGATGGCATATGTTCACTTCTTAGACTAAAGCAAAATAAAAAAAATAAAACAATTCAACCTACACTATCAGAATTCATGGATGCCCAAATTATATTTATCTTTTTAGTTTATGTACTTGCCACATAATGCCAATTTATGTACTTGACACATAATTATTTTATGATTTTTACTCATTTATTTTGCAAATTTGTTTGTATGCTTGTGTTTGTATGTATGTCTTCTGCACCTGTGTGTAGAGGAAAAGGTCAACTTCTAGTGTCCTTCCTAGCACTGGAATTACAAGTATGCCACCTTGCCCATCTTCTTTTAAATATGAGTTTGAGGAACAAACTCAGGTCCTTAGGCTGTGTGGCCAGCACTTTACTGACTGATCTATCTACCCAGCCCTTGTAACATTTTAATGGTGCTGGAGGCTGGAAAGATGACTCAGCGGTTAAGAACACTGATTGTTCTTGTAGAAGAGCCAGGTTTGAATCTCAGCACCCACATGGCAGCTAACAACTGTTAGTAACTCCAGTCCCAGGGGATCCGACAGCCTCTTCTGTCTTCTGTGGGCATTGCACGACATGGTGCTCTTACCTACATGCAAGCAATACATGCATACACATAAAAATAATAAATAAAATATTGAAAAACATTTTAATGATGCTGAATACTTCCCTTAAAGTACATGAATATGAAATATAGTTTATCCAATTATCTTTTAAAAAATAATAAATTACAGTGTCTGTGTGAGCACATGTGTGTGCATGTGAGTGTGGAGCTCAGCTAACAACTTGTAGGAGTCTGTTTTCTCCTTCTGCCTTGTGGGTTCCAGAGACTGAACTCAGGTCGTCAGGCCCAGTGGCAAGTGTCTTTACCTGCTGAGCTATCCTGCTGGCAGGAGAGTTTCATTAGAGTATTTTTAAATAATGCCATCTATTCTATGAAAATATAGGTTTTTCTGCTATGTATTTGATCAGTTTGGGGGATTGCTTGTTTTCATCATAAAAAGGCATTTAATTTTAATGTATTCATGTTTATCCTCTATAGTTAGCTTAAAACTACCTGCTTTTCTGTTTTTAGCCATCTCCTTATTTTCAGATATCTGCAGATGACTGAGTAGAGTCTGGCATGAAGTTCCATGAGATCATTTGTTATTTTATTTAGTATTTCCTTTGCTATTGCTTTCATAAGGACTGAGTGACAACTAAATTTTCTAATTCCTGAATTACTACATTTAATTATAACAGATTTTCTTCAATATATATATATATATATATATAATTTTTGTGCATTTCATATAATACATCTTGATCATATTTAGACCCCCTCCTCTATCTATATGCCCATAACATATATAATTATGAATTCTGTCATATATATTAACCCCTATTGAGTTAAGTTTGTATACCCAGATGTCCCTCAGTGTATAACACATTTTTTGATATTTAATGTGAAGAGCCAGATTTTTCATATCAATGTTGACTAATTAGGGAAAAAAATTTAGCCAAACCATAAAATGACAGATACTGTTGACCAAACTCTAAGTTGTAAGTGATACTCAGTTTCTACAGTGTTTTGCTTATAGATTCTAAAGAAACATATCATCATAATGTATTGGGTACAGGAAATGATCCCTTTTAGTTGTGTATGGATTTAGTATTACCACTGAAATTACTATTAGTATTACTACTAGGAACTGCATCTCCAAAACAAACTGAAATAACTTTAATTCTTTGAAATAATGTGGGTTTAGAATATGTCCATACTTCTGTTTTAATGTAAAATATTTCATTTAACTTATGTATATTTTTTGCTGACTTTGAAAATTTTATATTTTCTTAGTTCTTCAGACTTAGAAAGTAATGTTTTTTGTTTTATGTTTTATCTCTATCCCCTTTACCCTTAGCCGCTTTCTTGTTTGTTCATTCATTGCCTTGCTTCATTCATTGCCTTTAAATCTTTCAAATGATAAATTATATTAACAGCAGGATCATAGATTAGTTAAGTTGGGGCAGTTATTTAAAGTAACTTGAATTTAATAGGGATATCAAATTCACCTTATTTTCTCTCCTCCCCCTAGGGATTTTGCCTGTAAATCTACCTTCAATTTTAGTAAATAGGCTGGGAAGTGATTGCCTGTAATTCTTAAGTCTAGAGAACTTTACTCTCAGAAATCTACGTTGGGTAATTGCAGGGATTATTTGCTGAACTAAAATCAACCATAAACACTTTGGGTCACTTTCTCTAAAAAGTAGTGGTTGACATAAGGATGCTTGCCTGTTTTTGAGTGGCTGTTTATTCCTTTTATCTGTGATTATTTTACCAAAGGAGAATGGGTGTGGGCTTTGTCTGAAAAGCAGTTGTGGCTCCCATTTTAACTACTTTGCTTTGGGTCTTTCACAGAATCCTGCTACATCACAGAAGCCAGAGGTTCTGATGTTCCATTGAAATCACAATGGAAAATCTTGACTTGACTGGTAAGAGCTGCCCTGGACATGTATCTTACTTACTTACATACCTGGAATCAGTGAGGCAGTTAAGAACAATGTGCTGTTAGAACTGGTCTCAACCTTTTCCCATCTGATGGATTCACCTTTCATATTGACTGGGGAAGTGTCACACTTGTACAATTTTTCATGTCACTTTTTTTTTAATCTTCATCAAGTAAGTTAAATCATCTTACAGAATCACGAATTTTATTTAGTTGACTTTTCGAAATATCTTCTTTCATGCATCAGTGTGTTATTTGTTAAAGTCCTACGTATTTAATGACATATCTAACAATATCTAATTGGTTAAACTCCTCAAAGGTAGCTTTTCATACTATTGTTGAACTTAACTGAAAGGTGAAGCAGTCACAAGTATGGTGTAGTTTTCCTTACCTGTTAAAAATAATAGACCACTGTGTAACTGCATTGTGAAGCCACATAGAGTATGAAAAAAATATAATGAAGGAAAAGTTGGAATTTTATAATATATATGGATAACAGATTATATAAAACTTTGAAACTCGCTCTCCTACCTGCAGGCCTCTCTCCGGGGTAAGTCTAGCGCACCCTATGCACCTTGACTCCCCCAGCCTCATTCACCCTTCCATCTCCCCTGCCGGTCTCTCCTAATTTGGGTCCTGTCCCATTCCTTGTCTTGGGGCCCCAGACACCTGGGGAACCAATACTGCTTCCTGATCCTTTTCATCCAGACCAACATAGTGCCTTCTCTGGGCCCCAGGAGCACTGCTTCTGGGCCTGGCCCTGCCCTCACCTCCCTCTGCTTCCCTGGGCCTGTACACCTGCCATCCTCTTTCTGGGACTTGGGAGCTGATCTTTCCTCTTCCTGATCCTTTGCATCCTGACCAACCCAGCTCCTCAGTGCAGTCCCCAGGAGTCCTTGGGGCCTCTTCCTGCCCCATCTGCCTTTGCATCTCTGGGAGGCACAGCCACCAGCTGCCCTAGACCAGCATCTTTTCTGGCCAGGCCCCCAGGCCAGTCCAACCTCAAATTCCTGAGGCCAAAGTTGGTCCTGGAGGGATCCAGACCTTAGGAGAAAGCCTGAAATCATCTGACCCTCATCTGAATTGGGCCTCTGTGGGAACTCCTGAAGACAAAATCAATCCGGCCATTCCAATATAAAATCAAAAGAGAGAACTGGAAGGTTAGAGGAACCAGCTTTTCATGCCCCAAAAGTAAACCACAAAGACACACGAAGTTCACAAAAAGAAGCAGGCCTAAACTTGAAGGCTTGCATCTCACACAAGAATCAGAAACTACAAAAGAAATTCACATGTCAAAATCACAGACAAAAAATCATAACATGAAAAACCACCCACCAAATACTAATAGTATTCTAGAGGAGTACAATGAGAAACCCCTAGAGATAATGCAGGACATGGAACTCAAATTCAGGGATGACAAAAGAATTCAGTGAATTTAAAGAACACACACACACAAAAGAAATCAAAGAACTGAAGGAAGATAGGGATAAACATCTGAATGAATTCAGAAGAGTTAGAAATATTGGAGAATACTTAGGCTGAAATGAAGAAGGAAGTGAAACACTCAGTAAGCCAATTAGAAACAACAGGAGAAAGCCTCACCAATAGGATGAATTAAATGGAAAACAGAATATCAAGAATATCAAGACTGGAAGACAAAGTGGACAAATTAGACCACTCAAGCAAAGATTATGAAAAATTTAAGAAATCACAAGAATAGAATATGCAGGAATCGTGTGACACGATAAAAAGATCAAACTTACAAATCATGGGCATACAGGAAGGAGAAGAATCCCAAGATAATGGCATGGACCAGATCTTCAACAGAATCATGGAAGAAAATTTCCCAAAATTAAAGAAAGGCATGCCCATACAAATACAAGAAGAGTATGGAACACCAAACAGACAGGACCAGAAAAGAAACACTCCACGGCACATCATAGTAAAAATACTAAACGTACAAAACAAAGAGACAATACTGAAAGCTGCA